CCGCGGTCTACTTCGACCAAGACAACAGCATAAACTTGATGATATGTCTCTAATACGAAAAAGTAAGTGTTACGTATCATCAAGTTGAAACTTTTTTTTTCACTTGGAATGACGTCACTCGATTCGTCGGTGAAATATAAACGTGATGATAGTAACCATTTTATGAATTTTTAAACAAAAAAACCAAAGTTATGCCAGACATCAGTATTTCACCATCTTCTAGAGCGGAGAGCCTTTGTGGTATCCTATGTATATGAAAGAGGTCCATCTGACGGAAGTTCGGATGGATTTCTGTCACATTCCATGTAATCGAAGTTCGATTACACCATGAAGTTCAGATGAATTCCATATACGAAAAAGTAAGTGTTACGTATCATCAAGTTGAAACTTTTTGTCCACTTGGAATGACGTCACTCGACTCGGCGGTGAAATATAAATGTGATGATACGTTACCATTTTATGGATTTAAAAAAACAAACTCATGCTTGACATCAGTTTTCCACCATCTTCTAGAGCGGAGAGCCTTTGTGGTATCCTATAAATATGAAAGAGGTCCATCTGACGGAAGTTCGGATGGATATCTGTCACATTCCATATAATCGAAGTTCGATTACATATCATCAGGTCCGAAGTGGACCGCGGCCGCGGTCTACTTCGACCAAGACAACAGCATAAACTTGATGATATGTTTCTAATACGAAAAAGTAAGTGTTACGTATCATCAAGTTGGAACTTTTTTTTCCACTGGGAATGACGTCTTAGCACCTTTAGGAGAAGGTTGTTTTAATAGAGGCGTTAAAAAATCGGTTTGGTTAGTGGTAAAAAAGTGTAGTGTACTGGTTTTTTGCACTGAGTATATATACATCCTTGTTCAATAACATTTGAAAAGTAAAGAAAAAAAGATTCAGTGCGGATATTCTTTTAGGGATATTTTGGCGGTTGATTTCCGACAAAATCGGACTTTCTTCATACCACAGGGGAATATTTGGGATTGACGGGTCCAATAACACTGACTGGTTTTAAGCTACACTTTATATTATGATAATGGATTCTACAAACTTAAACACAATAGAAAAGGTCCAGTTCTATGTGAGCTCCTTCATACGGAGTATAGCAGAACGAAAGCTGGAAAAAAAAAGAAAATTTGTTAGGAAAACCAAAGGTAAAAATGATATTCTATTTATCCATTTATTCAATTAACGGTTCATACATAATCATATACAAAAAATTTGTTATCCGATTTCAACAAAATTTTGCATAGACGTTGTAACGTATCCTTCAATCAATCAATCAATCAATCAATCAATCAAATATCTCTTTAATAAAAAAAAATTACCAAAACCGACAATTGAAAATATCTGTGTCCCCCTTAAAATACAACTCTGACTACGGGCCTGTAAATACCTACCTAATTTTAAGTTTATAACTTTTCAACAGATTTTTTATCTGCCATTCAGCCATTATTTTGCTCTGCACCACCGACGGATATTGCCCAAAACAGCGGCAGATCGAAGATTCGTGGAAATGCATCGTCTTTCCAGAATACCAATTTTGAAATATCACCTGAAAACAAAAAAGTGCGGAGAAAAAATTTGCTGCTAAACGAGCAACATAGGTACAAAAAACTCTATCTTATGTTATATTATGCTTCAGTGATGCAAATGAAAAAACCTTCATGTTTTTTTACGACCATGAAAAAAATTTAGAAGAAAATTGTAATTTATGTAACAAGTGTGTAAAGTGGTTCTTTTTTTTTACGAGTAAAAATAACACTTTAACGAAATACTACTTTGGTGATCGAGATCTGATTTTTTTAACGAGGCGTAGCCGAGTTGGAAAAATAGTCGAGATGACCAAAGTATTTCGCGCTCGAGTTGCAAACAACATTTTTTCTACAAACGTCAAAAAATATAGTTCTAAAGTGAAAATATGTTCAGATTGATATTGAAAATGGTGTTGAGCTGGCTTGAAAGGCCTCCCCCTATCCTCCCTAGGTACGCACGATGTTCCACGAACATAATAGGAAAATCCTTTCGTGCGCTCCTAGAGATAAAACAAGGTTATTGTTGAACAGAAATAAATGATTTCGTGGATTTTTGCTCCATTGAGGACCATAATATAGCTTAATTTTCAATTGAAGAATAATTGATTTCATCAATAGTGTAGATATTTGGGGGAATTGTGTCAATATCCTATTTGTGAATTTTCACATTTGTCTAGTAGTTAAGAACAAAGTAAATATTTTTGACATAAATTTCCAGTAGTGATATTGCTGAGCAAGGCTAACATCAAAATATTTTCTGGAGTTACTATGGCCAGTATACATTTTAAGATATTTAAGAAGAGTTGAATCATAATAGTTTAAATCCTTGCAGATCAGAGCTTACAAGAGTCTGATACACATTTTTCAAACAGGATTTGCACAAATAGGTAAAGTGGAGGGAATTAGTGATATGCATTGGTGTTGTCCTTGTAAGTAAAAGGGTATCAAAGGAGGAAAGTACCTACACTCACTATAATATGCCTGTTTTGTGTGAAAATTATTGAGGAATTGATATGATTAATTGCTTATGCATGGCAGGAAAATCAGATATTTGCTAGGTCAATTTCTCTTAAAGATTTCAATATTTCTGAGAGCTGTTGCCTTCTATGAGGTTGAATATTTTCTAACTTTAGTGTGATTTTGTCTCAGATTTTTAAGACTGGCAAGAGGAACATTTGAAGATTTAGGTTTGATCCATTTTGCCTGAAAATGGGACCTTGACTTTGCAGTTCTGCAGTTGTGAATACATGTTGAGCTATAGAGACAAGCAACAACATGACTACAAACTTCTGACAGCCCAGCCATGCAGGTGTAATGGCTCTGTATTCATTCCTTGATCACTTTTATACAATACCCAGACTTCTAGTGCGGGTAAAATCATCATTTGAAAATGTTTCACCTACAAAAATATCGAATATTTGACATCTATCCAATTTTCCATTCATAGTATGACTGCCTAGAACAACAAATATAAATGCCACTGATTTTCTTCACTCCACATAGGTATTTGTACAAAACATGCCTCTGAAAATGTATACCCACTCAAACTTTCATGAGCTTTCGTTTGCTCTGCAGTATGAAAACTAGGAGTTAACAATTATATCATGTCAAGATATCTATTGAAGTGACTCCAGGAAACATCGGAGCCTGGGTTTCCATTATTCTGCAGAGAATAGGGATCAATAGAATCGCTGACTTTGATTTTCTCTTTGTATATTATTACCACCAGAAATTTCTAATTTCAATAAATATTCACTTTATTCATGAGAAAAACTATAATATCAAAAAATCAAAACAAAATCAGTGACGATCATAACCTTAAAACTCGCAATTTAGGGGAAGAGGAAGTAATTTTTTGACGTTTGAAGTACGGACGGAAACGGGGCAGGTACAGCGGCCATTTTTAGGTCACGGGTTCTGGAATGCCTAATAAAGCAATCTTGAACAAAAATCTCAAGGTTCTTTTATGTGAGACCCTTGTTTTGTCGAATCTCAATTACGATGATGTGGTGTATGGACCAAATCTTCTGAAGTCAGACCGTCTCAGAATTCAACGTGTTCAGAATTGTTGTGTTCGACTTATATGTGGCCTTAAGAAGGGAACACCTACCTCATAATCTTTGAGAAGTCTAGGATGGCTGAACATGGATGAGAGTACATGCTTGTTTTTTCTTCATAAAATGGTTATTTCAAAATCTCCCCAATACCTGTACAATAAAATTAGATTTAGAACTGATGTACATAACCTAAATATAAGAAATAAATTTCGCATCACACCGCCTATGCATAAGTCTACTTTTTATGAAGGATCATTCCAATTTTACTTGACCAGGCTATACAATTGGCTTCCAGATGAGTTTAAGAGTTTTTCCATTTCAGTCCTGAAACAAAAGTTGAAATATGGTTCGATCTCAGGCGGAATATCTCTGACATAAGTGTAATAATATTGTAGTTTCTATTGCTTCTGATTGCGTTGCATGTACATTTTATAATTAGTCATTTAATAATATATATTACTTTTAAGAATCTATTCATTATCCTAGTTAACATTAGTATATTTCATAAGTTTAGATCATAAGTTCAATTCAGACTCATTTATATAAATGAGTCTTCTACTGGTTGAGTGGAAGAGCAAATTCCTGTCTTTACAGGAAATTGGAACTCTGCCTTTTGGCAGGCTTATTAATTACATGGATGCTCATGTTGAATAGGTGAAAAAGTAAAGAAAAATAACCCTGGCCATGTATAGGCCTACTGGTTGTGTCAGAAAGCAGTAGTATGTACTTTCGTTAACTTCTATATTTTATCAATTTTGCATTGGAAAGTTGCCACATTTCTTTCGACTTAAAATCCAATATAAATGTCAAAACTGTATTTCTGTATGTTGATAGAAGGCGCTGAAAAATGGATTTGAGGAAATAAAGTTTTGACATTAGATTGCATTTCAAATCAAAACAAATATCAATTATTGTTATCGTCGAAATGCCACGACTTATCAATGCAGAATTGGTGAAAATTTTAAGATTGTCTTAACTATCTTTTTAGGTAGACAAACTGCAGAGAGTTAAGAGAAATTACACGCAGTGACTTTATGTCAACCTGATGGTAGGTACTTGTATGACATTTTTTCATTTTGATTTTGTTTGGTTTTAATATATTCGAAAACAAACTGCCTAATCGGAGATCACTTCAATTTTAGAAGCAAATTGCTCACAAGTGGGTTCAGCAAGCTCAGGAACAAAAGATCAAAGTCATGACAGACAGTTTGCAGTAGAGAAATTGTCATCCAGCGTATCTTCAGATAATGATTACTTTCAATGAGTGGTAATTTTATATATTCAAAGTGAATTTTCTAAACCATTTTATGTCTTGGGTTGAATTATGCACCTAACGATTCGTTCTTTAATTAATTTGTTATCAAAAATACATGGAGTTGAATTTTGATTATTATTTTCAGACTTTGAAAAAGTTGTTATCGGGGAACTGACGCTACTAAATCTGAAGATCAATGCTATGGGCGAAAATGTGTCAACAATATTAAGTTTTATGAGACAAAATACAAATACAGCTATGCAAGAACCAGATTTATTCAAGAAAATCAAAATATTCAATAGTAAATTGCCGTTGAAATCTAATGAGGGACTCGAAGAGTTGGAAGATTGACTGACTGACGATAGCAATTAAAAATTCATGGTAATTTCACGAATTATCAGTTATTATTTATTATTATTATTATTCATTTATTGTTCACACAAAACGTAGAGTTTTATAAACAAGAAATTTGGTAGAATTACTAATTGAATATGAATATTAATATGAAATCAAAATTAAATCTAAATAGGATATACCATAAATAGTACAAATACATTTTAGTGAACAAGTTGACACTAATATGTTCCATATTATGTACCTAAATAATGTAAGTGATGCTCAAAAAACAAAAAAGGGAGCATGGTATGAAACGAATGAAAAAGAAAAAAAAACGAATTATTAGTTTAAATTCGACATTTCCAATATGAACATTGATACAGATCATTGATTAAAAGAATAAGAGTTTCAAAGATGGTAATGATATGTTGGATTCAAGTCTGAATGAAACCAAAGAAACCAGAATGTGGTTGTCGACGTTTCAAGTTATATTAAGTCATCATCAGGACAACGAACTGTTCTTTCCTTCATTCGAAAAGGTTGTTGAGAAGCATTTGGATACTTGTAATTCTCATAACAGTATTTTAAGCAATGCACATTGGTTCTGAATATAATAATGACAATTTTTTTATAAAATAATGATTGTGAATATTCAATTGGGTATCCTGAATATTTGAATGCTTTCAACAGCCTTTTACTAAATAAATCATTCGTTGTGCTGAGGGTGACCTAATATAAGCTGAGACGTTGACAGCCAAACACTACTAATTCCTGTGGTTTCATTTTCCAAATTTGATAAATTCATATGCTTGAATCGTCTTGGGGTCCCCAACCAAACGCAGTGGTAAAATACGAGCCTATTTTTCGAACTTGTAGTTTTTGATTATGTGACAAGTAGAAAATATGTTTGTAATTTCAAGGTCACAGAGTTTCGCAGAATGAGAGGACAATCTGTACACCAAGCAGTGCGAAGAATTTTATATAAACTACTGTCAAATGATGTGGCTTTACTATATTCATGGGACGGAGCCAAGCAGAGAGCACCATTGAAAAATCTCCTGTTGGCAAGATATTGGGTGAGTGTGTTGTTATTTTATTTTCTTAGCTGTTAGACATCTATAATATGCTTCAAGTCCTATGTGCTTCCACACACAGTAGATCGCCAAAACAATAACTATAAAAAATCTCTGCTCATCAACTTACAAGGAGTAATGCGGTTCTCTGTTTGAAGCTAGCGGAGTGATTATTGTAGTTTTATTCGAGTTTTTGGCAGAAAATATTATGCCATATGATGTCTTTGAACGAATATAACGGAGCACTTGTGCTTTGGTTTAAGCGAAATTGTTGAATTACTTTGGAGCCCTTGAAATGTACTAAAGGCTTTCAAAAACCTTCTAAACTGGCTTATTCTACCTCAGGTATCCTAAAAATATAACATTCATTCTTGCTAAAAACTTGATCGATGTCTTATAACTACTCTGACAGCTTCAAAAGTTTGGCCCCTCATTTCTCTCAAGAGTTGATAAGCAGACATTTTTCATAGTATGAACACAGCTAAAGAATCTGAAATTTCTTCAAAATGAGAATTCTCAAGATGCTCGGGTGATACCTTCTTTGACAATTTATCTATGGCAAACTTGTGAACTAGTTCCTATGACCAAAACGTCGCGATAGTCTGGTTATGATAATTAATCATGACCTACTGCGATTAACAATACTTAAAAGAAGGGATAGTGATAATATATTATGTTTCTAGATGCTGTTAAGCTTCAATATACTAGTACAGTGGATACTGATATAACATCGGTTATAAAAATATGGCTGGTGAGAGTCAAAGAGAGGCTCAGAAAACCACTGCAGGAACTCCACCAATCTTCTACTAAGTGAGAATTGTAATTTGAATAGGCCTTGAATGAATAAATTATGTGTTTTTATACTTAATATTTTCATTTTCCCGATTCGCGAATAATAAATTAAGAAAAATTCTATTAAAGATATTGAAAATTCATTTTCCCAACCATTTCTAAATTTGAAACTGGTTTGTAATTTTGAAGGAAAATTTCAGATCGGATCACATGAAAATGAAGGTGTTAAGGATGTGCATGGAACATACTGGGAAAATGCTGGAGAATATACTATGAATGTGCATGTTCTTATCACACGACTATCATTGAATGTGAACCACACCTAAACGTCAAGTTGTTTTCTGCATTTAATCTGATATTTATCCATTTTAGATTAACTCAATTTGAACCATGGAAAGATACATAATCGAGCAACGCGTTTAAGTTATTCAGGCTTATTATGAAAATGGGCGTTCAAATCAACATGCATATCGTGCACTTCGTGATTTTTTCGGACAATTTAATCGTCCAAATGTGCGTACAATCGGGAAAATCGTGCAAAAATTTGAGCAAACCGGATCTGTAGGAGATGGAAAAACACCAGTGCATGCTCGTACAGATCGTACTGCAGAAAATATTGCTGCTGTTCGCGGTAGTATGGCTGAAGAGCCGTCCACCTCAACTCGTCGTCGTGCCCAACAATTGCACCTCTCACGCTCGTCGTTCACGAACATTATGCAAAAAGACTTGTATTTACACGCTTACAAGGTGCAATTGACTCAAGAGCTGAAGCCTCTTGACCATGCCAAACGTCGTCAATGGTCAGAATGGTGACAAGAAATGTCAACAGTAGATGATCAATTTTCGAAGAAAATCATCTTCAGTGATGAGGCACATTTTCACCTCAGTGGATTCGTGAATAAGCAGAATTGCCGCATTTGGGCGAATGATAATCCAAGAGTGATTATCGAAAAACCAATGCACCCACAAAGAGTGACGGTTTGATGCGGTTTATGGGCTGGCGGCATCATCGGGCCGTATTTTTCCAAAAAGAGGCCGGTCAGGCAAGTACTGTGAATGGTGTTCGCTATCGTGCGATGATAACGAACTTTTTATGGCCCGAATTGGAAGATATGGACTTACCATACAGCTGACGACACATTGGCTCTTTTGCGCCACAAATTCAATGGCCGTGTTATCTCACGTGGTGGCGATGTGAATTGGCCGCCAAGATCATGTGATTTGACACCGTTGGACTTCTTTCTATGGGGTTATTTGAAAGACAAGATGTACTTACGTCGATAAGCCAGCAACAATTGGAGAGCTCAAGAATGCGATGATTCGGCACATTAACGGCATAGAACCTCAATTATGCCTCAGCTTCTTCGAAAATTTGGACCATCGGATGGTGTGCCGCCGAAGTACCAATATATCATAATAAAAAGAAATGACAATAATTTCCTGAATAATTTGTGTTTTATTCAAAATCAACATCGGCCCTTCAAACCACTCTATATTATACTTTGGACATTGATAGCACATTCTTAGAACGTTCTTTCTCAGGACATGCTATAGATCTTTGCCTAGTCATGTGATACGGACATTCTGAGAATGTGCTGCCGCACTTTCTTAGAATGTGTGATATCAGCTTCTGATAGGGATTTGTAATATATTCTCAGGACATTCTATTCACATGCTGTATGTTATTTACGCACGTTCTTAGAACGTGATGTTTCTGTTAGAAGATTGGTGAATATTCAAGGATGGCGGCAAAGAAATCATACAATAAGAGAGATTGCCGACTTACTAGATGTCAAGAAATCATCTGTAGGAAGAGCTTTGGAAAGAGAAGCTAACAACGGTACTGCTGCTTACCGACACGGCGGAGGAAGTCGAAAAATATCAAATCCCCGTCAGGACCGAGCAAAAGTACGTACTGCAATTAGAAATAGGGTTAAGACTGCCAAAAAATCCGAGCGCACCTGCAGTTGAATGCTATAGCAAACACCATCAGAAGGCGCCTACATGACCAGGGATTAAATGCCTACTTTTAACAAATGTTCACCGAGCGAGTAGAAGAAGATGGTACGAAGAACACATGCAATGGCATCTTTGGTGGAGAGACTGTCTTTTCACTGATGAATGTCGTTTCAACCTGTATAATTCCGACGGCCGATTGATAACTTGGAGGAGATGGGGAGAACATTTTTTAGAAAAAAACACGCGCCCCCTAGGTGCATTTGGCGGTGGTGGATTGACAGATTGGGGCGGTATTCAACACAGCGGAAAGACAACTCTTGTAGTGTTTCGAGGAAATGTCAATGGCAGAGTCTACCTGAATGAATGTCTGATTCAGGAAGTTCTTCCGCATGCTCGAAATTATGGCGAGAATTTTGTTCTTGTTGACGATGATGCTCGGCCTCATCGGACAATATTAGTAAAGAGGTATCTGCAAGACCAAAATATTAATCGTACTGAATTGCCTCCCAGATCTCCAGATTTGAATACTATTGAGTTCCCTTCATCATCTATCTTACATCCATATAGGCTCGAATTAATAAACCGCGATTCGTTCTCGATACAAAAACTCCTCACGAGTTTTCGTGCGCTCGGTCTGAACAATAGATAAGATAGGGATATAATTTTCTTCTATCTCTGAGAGTCTATAGTGTAGCTCGATACTTTCCTCCAAGTATTATAATATCGCTCGTATTTTTGTAACTGCATTAATAGTAAGCCATTTCGGCATCAACAGTTGTTGCCTGGTCATTGTTTTTTGTAGGTGAGTTTTTTTTTGAATGATTACTTTTATGTACAACCATGTGACTTTACCTGCATACTAATAGTTATGATATTTTTATTCATATACGTACTACTTGCTAATCACGATTCTCGAGATAATCTTTCACATCGCGAGTGAATTATATTGTTTTTTGTAGTTGCGAGAATTTGAGAAATATAAAACTTATTGTCAATCATCCTGCGAGTTGAAAATTCAGTCAACCCACCAAACCAAATTTTGCCCTGAGATTTCGTGTATCTGCACAAAGGGAACGTCAGCCAGAAACTCTTGACGATCTCGAAAGGATGATTCTAGACATCTGGGAGGCAGTTCCTATAGAACTAATCAACGAATTAGTTTCGAGCATGCCAAGTCGGTGTCAGGCAGTT